CCAAAGTTCGAAAGTTGTTCCTTTCAGGAGCATCTAAATCTAATTTTCACGCATTTTTATTTGCTCGAACTATTTACAATGCTTGAAAAGTAGAATCTAATCTAATTTTTAAGCAGGTGGGCTTTTATGGAATTCTTTGCTGTATTTGCTTCTAGAGAGTGCGTGCTGCTTGTACAATGAAAGCTTTGTATATAATTTATGTGTTGCTTTCTTAAGGTTGCTTTCTTAAACCACACCCCCAGCAAAACCCTCTGTCTAGAATAAAGTCAGAATCAATTGAGAATTCAATTTGCTTTAAAGTAGCAATGACTTTGCATTGAACTAGAAACGAATTAATATTTTATTAGAAGTAATCGTTTTTTAATTTGGAAGAACGATATTAGATTTGCACACAATTGAAATTTAATTCGGGTATAAGATGTAAACTAGCGGAAACTAAAAGTTAGTTACAAAATAACTTTGAAATATACACTACATTGAATGTGACATACAACTATATATATAAATTAGAACCAACTTCGGGATAAGTTAAACAGCCATTTAGACTTAAATTAAGTCTGAATTGGAAGTGAAGTAAGATTGAATTAACCTTTCATTGCTTCAACTAGAATTGGACAAGAATTAAGACACAATTGAAATAGAATTGCTTAACCTGCAGCTCGATTAGAAGTCAATTACTGCAACCATGAATTAGAATTAGACTTGGGTGAGCATTAAAAACAGACATTTACAATTCTACTAAATTAGAGTTGAATGCAAACTCAATTAGAACTGATAGTTGAGATCAAATTGGAGATTGAAACCAAACTTCAATTAGAAATCTATAGGTTCCCTTTTGAATTCAATCAGGTTCAACTGGAATTCTAAATTTAGGATTAAGTTAGACTTAAATAGTAGTTAAACTAGAGTTCAATAGAGTAATACAAATGATCATAAACAGCTTTACGTTTATGAGTTCATGCCAATTTTGATTTAGAAAATCAAGCTAAAGTTATAAAACATTGAAAATAAAATTGGATTAGATCTAAATTTGAAGAGCATTGGAAACACAAGAAACTTTTACATTTCATTGAAAATTTGATTGTATCTAAGTCAACTTCCAAGAAACATTCACAGGTTGTGCAAACGCCCAAAGGACCAAAACACAGACAAAACCAAAAACGCAAAAACCGTGAGGAGAATATTTGGTTCCGCCTCAAAAGATGTTTTTGGTGTTCATTGTGTTTTTTTCGTATTTTGGTTGTGAAATCCAAAAGCACAAAACTTGTTTTTGTATTTTGCAGGTTTATTGTACTAGAATACTGCCAAAAACAAAACCAGAAGGTATTATTGTTTTTCCAATAATTTATACTCATAGCAAATCATCAAAGAACACAAAATTGTATTTTTTTGGTTGTAGCCAGCCTTCTTTAACCACAAGGCATGAAAAAAACAAACATCACAAGGGTTTTTGGTTTTTGTACTTCAAAACCAAAAACGAACACACAAAAAAATCATTTGAGGGTGAGCCAAACATTCTCTTCAATGTTTTTCAGTTGTTTTGGTTTTTTGTTTTGTTGCGGGTTGAGTAAAGTGCATTGTTTTTTATTAGAATTTGTTATATCAAATTGTTTGCATAAAGCACTGTAAATTACCAGTAAATTTGATGAACGGTTTTTTTGGGGTGTGTGTGTGCCATATATATATATATGCATGTAGCATAAAGCATCATTGAATCATAGACCATTACCAAGCGGCTTGAAACGCGGTGGACAACCAGTACCTTCGCCATTCTGATGCTGCACGCCAAAGCTCAACAAGACTGAAAGCGCATGCTCAACGCTCTCATGGGGAACATGGAGAAACAGTGGCAAAAAGACAACAGGAGCTACTAACAGCATCCTTATTACTAGTAGCGATGGCCTCCAACCTAGTAGCTTCTTGCTACTAGTAGTAATGGCCTCCAACCTACTAGCAAATATAGCATGCATGAATGAATTGTAGAGGTAAAGAAACACCGACAAGCAGAAACCGGAAAAGATTTCGATCGAACAAAGGATTGTATCCGCGTTTCACCCTGGCAGCATAGGTGTCTATTGTCATGTGTTGCCTAGGCTAAACGCTTGCACACGCATGTTGGTCTTTGGCATTTGTTTAAGAGTTTGCCGACATGGTCCTTGTCCAATGTAGCCATGCATCAAATGCATGGGGCTGAGACGTTGAAGGGCATGCCATACCGGGGACCTTTTTTGCCCAAGAGCAACGCACTGTTGGGATCATGACACTGAGGCACTTTTCGCCAACCTTTCCGCCAGGCAGGCTTCAAGGATTTATCACACCTCACTGAAACCAAGTGGAGAAGATACACTTAGAGAACATTGCTATTGGGTCGAGGCCATCGCTATTAGGTTGGAGGCCATGGCTATTAGGTTGGAGGCCATCGCTACTAGGGTGGAGACCATCGCTCTTATGATACCCTTTCGATGAATCGATATTGACTCCGTGGAGATTTGGCAGACTAAAGCTGAGGAAAGATCCAAGACACAACTAATGCTGCGTACTGCACTCATCTAGAGAGTCCGTTGAAATTGACAAACACATCGGTTACGTGTTGCGTGTGAGAGGTTTGAGGTGCTTACTTTCATTGAGGATGAACAACAGCCTCTTCCAGCAAGGCATGGAGAGACCAGCAAGATGTTGCTTGGTGTTTGTGGATTGTCGTTTGCCAAAGCCAATCTTCACATTCAATACTGTCTACTGTGTTCTACATCAGTTGCAGACGAGCTCTTCCGTAGATGGATTGGCATCAGAGATTGGCTTCAGCGGCGATGCAAGAATGCTTGCTGTAGATCTTCTGGCTGTTTGCATTGAATGAACATGTTTCGTGCGGACCGAGCACTGTTTTAGAGATGGCATCTTCCCGGGGGTGCCCGAACCTACTTGTATCCACCAGCTAGCGAGGCTCAAAGGACCCTAGGCTAACTACTGTGCCGTGGTAGCAGGGGGATCTTAGAAATCCGTGTCAACTCATCGAAGCTTCTAACCGTTCAGCTTCATGAACAAAAGGCCGCGATGCACACAATGATGAATGATCCTTTTGAGGCTTAATGCAGTCCGAAGGCGTGTGAGAACAGACCCACTGGCAACTTCAGTCAATCGCACCTGGGGTGGCCACAAACATGCCCCACCTTTTGATGGAGTACAATCCTGGTTTGCTTGCGAGGATATCATAGACACTTGAAGTATCATGAATGAGCTAGAGGAAGAGAAGAGAGGACCATGAATGAGAAAACCGCCTGTGTTAGAGACTAGCCATGGTCCACCAGGTGCAGGTGTGCACTTCAAGATAATCTTGAGACATCTTGAGACTTCAGACGACCGCAATTGAAGCATATGGAACAGATTCAATCGCATGACAAAATGCCAATTCCTCCTCCAGCGCTTGATGCGTAGCTGGATGGACATATATATATATATGTTATCGGTTGCTAACATGGATTCCTGACGGCAGAAATTGTGGTTGCGATAGTCTGACCGATTCTTCGCAAGGTCAAAAAACGCGTTTGCTATTTATTTGATGACGCCCAAAACAATGAACATTGAAATATATTGAAATGACTTGCTCAACCAAGGCTGACAAACCCATGACGCAACCCAGATGTCCATCACGAGGGCAACGAATAGAACAAAGTTGGCTTTAGTAGAATCGCTTTCGTCTTCTTCTTTTGCATTTTCTGGTGCTGGATGTTCTGGTTTCTTGAAATCATCTTTGGAACCATGTCAAGCTTGCGGCCCTATAGCAATCCTTCTGCATCGTCTTCTTCTGCCCAATAGCCACGTGGCCGTCAACAGTACCATTGAATACCAAGAAAGAACATCTGCTTCCAGCATTGCTCCTACTAGAATATATCATAAATTATCAACATATTTACTAACTTTCCGTACGCCGTACGCCCGAGAGCGCCGCACCGCTTGTACCGGCGTCACGCCATCCCTATCACGCATCACCACATCCACGTTCCGAGATCGCTCACTTCCAATTTGCTCGAACGGGGTCCGCAAATGTTCACCCACAAAAACTCAACGCTCACACGATTGCAGTGCAGAGGCCGTCCAGTGGCACCAGTACGAGCGGTGGGCCTCCTCATGTTTTTATAGAGCTGAATTTGTCATTTTGGCTTGAATTGTCCTACTACCACCCTAGTACTTTATTTCGTCGTTGTGTAGATCATTTTCAAAACCACTCATGAAGGTTTTCTTCGAATAAGCGCATGATATTCGTTGGACTTGGAATTTGTTTTTCAAAGCGAGAACAGAGCGAGGTGTGGGGTCAAAGCATTGAGTGGCAGTACTTTGTGCGGATGTTTGCGGTATTTTGAGTAATTAGCACACTCCAGGCAGCTCCGGTCAGCGGTCGCCAGGCAGGATCAAAAGGACCTGTCAGGAGTTAGGAAGGAACATATAGTAAGGGCACATACGGGCACTATATACTTCGCAACCACCCGGCACTGATGTCATTTTTGGCTAAATGGCACATTTCCATATATTTCATTATATGTCTATATTGGCGTTGAAATAGAGCAAGATTGGCCCTGACTGGAGCAACCGGACCAAAAACAATTTCCAACAACCACTCAACAACTAACAAGCTGTGCAATGTCGAATTTCGAGCTGCCTTTTCCCTCCCTTTATCCGAGATGTGCTCCACAACGTGTTCGAAGCACTTTCAGAAGAATCACCTTGTGCATCCTCGTACGAGTCCTGCAGGCAAGCGGGGCCAGCACTCCTGGAACCGCAACATCTGGGCGGGCCGGATCGACAGGCCGTGTAGTGGCCGCAGACTCAGTGTCGGGGCTGACTATTTTTCGGCTGAAGACAGCTAGTAATGAAAGCTCTCTTGTTTTTACTGGCCAAGGGTTGTGCATTTTGTAGTCAGTATATAGCAAAGAAAGCATTTCGAACGATTTCTTCATGTTTGCATCAACAGCAAATTTCTGCAATGTTCACCAGTCGCAGCTAGTGGAAATATAAAGTCTTCGTGAGGTAGTGGATCTCAGTAAAGACTGTGGTACAAAGCCACAGTTCATACATGTTCATACATTGCTCACACTATCCATGCCTCGTTAATCACTCATGCAACAAGATGCAGCAAGAATTTGTTGTTCCTACACTACTCCTTGAGCACCTGGTCCACCACGCTTGAGTTCTCTTGCGTGCCGTTCCATAGCCAGGTCCACGCCTTTGTTCCTCTTCCTGTGGCCATTTCATAGGTCATATAAGCTTACCAATATCAGCGCAACAGGGTTGATGGGAAACGCATTGCCTTGTGAGTGGCCCTGTCCCTGTGCAGTTTGACAACTACGATTGCAAAACATTGCAAACCAAAGTCTCATGATTCCTTGCAGCCCCCCGCCTGTAAATTTATCATGAGCTCGGCAGCACCAAAATCATCCAAACTGCAAACGCTACGATATGTAATTATAGATACTATAGTCATTTCACCTGCATCAGCGTCTCTATATTTGCATCAGATTCTGGCAAGCACCGAGTCTAGTCTATGTACAAGATTTGGAGATCTTAACATTAACAAGAAGCTAGTAGTAACAAGTGCCACGCTAGTAGTAACAGGTGCCTTACTAGTAGTAACAAGAAGCCATTAATTTAAAATTAAATCTTAACAAATTTGTGTCTTAAGATGTGGAATCCCCAACAGGCCGTCATTACTGTTTTGCGTGCACCTTTGACCTCACCAATGAATTCAATCAAAGGTCGGCGTCAACGAATCATAGAGCTCCCGATAATTGTTGAGAGAGTTCGCTTAGTGCCTTTTTTCAAGCTGGACTCAGGTTCAAACACGACCTACACAGGAATATGGCAGATCCATCGTTCGCCCTGGCCTTGAAAATATTGCATCATGTGTTTTTTTTTCCTGTGGCTTGACATGACTATTTGTGTGTGTGCGTTTTCACCATGGACGAAATTGCTTGTTGAATTTTATCCAGGTCAGGTGTCTTGTTATTTTTTGCTTTTTTAGATCAGTCCACCGCTGCCCCAAACTGCTCAGATACACTTGATATTTAGTGACAGGACAGTCAGCTTTCAATCGGAATCAAACTCATGCCGCAGTGCACAGTCCGTATAGCTTTCGCAAGCAAAAGCATGCGCTAATGCAGTTATGCCGCAAATCTTGTATATAGAAAGTTGCCTGACAGCTGAAGTTAGGGTATTCTATTCTCACTGACGCATGCATGTGTCCCAGGCTAAGAATAAACCGTAGCACACCACCGCTGTTTTCTTGCAATGAATTGGAGATATGCGTGGAGGCCACGCTTTAGGACAAGCTCAAGCGCACCAAAAGACCGTGACACTGTTCTGGCCAAGTGACTGGTTGACATTGTTTGGGCGCTTTGCTTTGCCAGGTGTTTATCTTTGGCCTTTGGTGCAACAGCCAACTTCCGGGAGGTGTTTCATTCAGACTTGAATGATATCACTTGGTGTTCATTTCTGACTCTACAGTATATAATATTTCAATGTGATCACATTACTGTGTCATGGCAGCGTTTTTGTTTCAATCATTCCAAAGTCATTCCTGATGGTCATGTTACCTGCCGCTGACAGGGCAGCCCAGTAATTGGAATGTTTTCGCTGCCGACCGACCCGCCGTGCCAGCTGGATTTGGATGGTACTTTGTTGATGTCACGAAATATCCAACCAATAATTCATCATTTCGGCAGGGTAAAACAGTTGGATCTTGACATATCTTGACCTTTATTTAGATCAACTGTAACCTGTCTATCTCAATTCTCGCTCAAAGACAGGCAGTTCTGTGAAAGCTCCCACTGCGAGGCCGGCAAGTGCTACTTCAAGCCATGTCAGACACATACCAGTACGGTTGCTTTCGGCGTATCATACAAGCAACTGAACAGATTTGAGCAGGCTCTACCTGCATCATACGTGAAGTTTATCGAATCTGCTGGTGGTGAAGTTGTGTCAGGAGCTGAATTGATTCCAAGAGTTCCAAAAAGATAAGAATACAATTTACATATATATTATATATATGTTGTTTTGTTTTTTATTTGTTTCTATTGCTCCAGCCATATCCTTCAAAGGTTTTTCAGATGCGGAAGATTGCTCCATGTCTTCCCTCACTGCTCTCACCAGCTCTTTCGGCTGTCTAGAACGGTTCAGCTCAGGCCAGTGAGTTTCTATGCAACAGAGTCCGAGGCCAGAACAAATGAGCCCACTCCTACCTAATTAAGAAGTAAAGGGGAAAATTTGTTGGCTCCTAGATACTTAAGCTACTCCATACTGGACGCAGGCTCACGCTTCCTTGCAGAAGTTCTCGCACTAATGATTCGGCTCCTAGATGTTTAGGGAAACTCGAGCTATGCTGCATAGGTTCCGGCTTTGCTCAAAAGGATGCTGTGGCTCTTCGTTTGTTCCGCTCAGATGGATCTCCTGCTGGAGTCGCTCAACGGATTCTTGTTTACTGGAGGTGCAGAAGGGCTCCACAGTTCTCCTGTCACTGGATTTGGCTTCCTTAGGTTTGCGATGGAGTGTTTGAGGTGCTGATATGGACCCCCCAGCTGCTGCGCTACGTGTGCTTGAGCGCTCACGACAACTTTTTGAGGCTGGAACAAGGGAACGTTTCTGAGACATTCTGAGCTCTCAAAGCAAGATAAGCAGTAAGACCCAAAGACATCCAAAGACACCATATTCAACACAACCTCAACCATTTGCTTGGCATTTGTGGAGGCTGGCGATCCGCAGAATCAGCTTCCCGTCTGGGGAACCTGCCTCGGGTTTGAGTGGTTGGCAAGACCCTCAGCGACATCTCTCTTTGGAGCAAGAGTGAATCTTCCACGTGAGTCTGAGTGCAATCAAGGTTGCAGCCACATCGCCATCTAGCTTGCTGTCTGGATTCAGGTGAGGAAATCCGAAGCATTCTCTTTCTACCAATTCCCATCCATGCGTCATGTTGATCTGATTGTCGGCATTTGCGTTTATCAAGCACTGGGAGCAAGGACGCCACTAGTAGCTCCTGGCCATACTACCAGGAACAAGAAGCTACTGGGGGCTCCTGGCCTTACTACTCGCACCACTTGCGGTCAGGTCGCCGCTTCCCAAGACCCTTCGTCGTGTTGACGGGTGTCTGGGAGTTTGGTCGATATCTTCTTGTAAGACATAATGAGGACTGTACAAGTGAACCAAGAATGGTCGAAGACCGACGTGAAACCGAATGTCCGCGCCAGGCATGTATCGGGAACGAGCATCAGTTACACAAGCGGTAAATTACTAATTGGGTGCGGGCGG